TAATATCGGTATCGGCCCCAAAAAACCCATATCGGTCGGGCTCTAATATATATAGATAGATATAATTTTTTTAATTAATTTTTATAGAAATTAATACTTTTATTTAGCAAGGATGCATTAAATTGAGTTATTTTAAACAGTAAAAATATTTCTAAATTGTACTGTTTTTGCTGTATTTTGGATCAAATAAATGCAGGCTCGGTGAGCAGAAGAGACTTCTTTAAGAAACATAAAAAAAAACTATGTTTTCTTGTTTTATGGGTTTTCAGGATTAAGCTGATTTGGGCATGTTGTGAGCTTCCACACAAGCAGAGCTCAGTCGAGGACATTCCCGGGGGGCGTGTCTCACCAGGTCTCTCTGGTCCTCCTGCACCAGGTCCATCTTGTGCACCAGGCAGAAGATCTTGGCGTCAGGAGAGTTCTGCAGGATGGCTTCCAGACACGACTGGTAGTAATGCATATCCTTCTCCAGCTCGCGGCTCTCCACATCAAACACGTAGATCAGCACCTCCACATTGCGAAAGATGTTGTCCCTCTGACTCGTGAAGTAGTTCTCCATGAACGTGTCCTGTCTGTGCGATTCACATTTAAAGATGAGAAAAGAAAAGTGTCTTCCCAGAAGCCACCCATCGAAACATCCCACAGGAGACACTCACCCGCCGCAGTCCCACAGGTTCAGCACCAGATTGCCCAGAAACCGCACGTGAGAGTGCTCCACATCAACTGAAACGGGAGAAAATACCGCTGCTTTCAACCTCTCACTAATATGAACTGTCTTTAATGTGTGTCATGGAAGATGATTTATGTAACACCTGCTCCTCTAATGAAAACGATACAAAAATGAGCCAATTGTAACAGGAGGAAAATGATTTAGATCTTATGAAAGCATAAAGCACATGTTAAAAAATGAAGTACCCCAAATAGTCATGTAAGCCATTAAAATCAATCAAGTCAAATGCAAAAAACTGTCCTAAAAATAGGATTTGTTTTCTTTGAGCAAAACAGCATCTTGCCCTCCTCCGCTCTCAAATCTCATTTGTACTTAGTTTAATTCAGAAATGAAGCTCTGATTGAAAGAGTCTGATTTCACTGGAAAGCCTGGTGTCGTGTGTCTTGAGGTGTCATGTAGGTTTGGAATGAAACGACAGGATTTGTGTTTTTAGGTGCACTATTTCTTAAACAAAAGTCATACTTGTGGCTCCCAGGCGGCGAGTGTCTCTGGCGATGTAGTTGGCAAATATGATCGACCTCATACTGGTCTTCCCTGATCCACTTTTCCCCATCAACAGCACCTGCGAAGAGAGCAGAGGGTCATTCTGCACCATCTTCTTCATGACGGGAGAGGAAATCTAAGCACATCTCACTGGTGACCTATTTTGATCTCAAAAAAGTGAGTTGTCACTGAAAGGTGAGGGGTTTGCATCTATGTGTGTGTGTGTGTGTGTGAGTGAGAGAGTGTGAGTGTGTGAGTGAGTGTGTGTGTGAGTGAGTGTGTGTGAGTGTGTGAGAGAGAGAGAGTGAGTGTGTGTGTGTGTGAGAGAGAGAGAGTGAGTGTGTGTGTGTGTGAGAGAGAGAGAGTGAGTGTGTGTGTGTGTGAGAGAGAGAGAGTGAGTGTGTGTGTGTGTGAGAGAGAGAGAGTGAGTGTGTGTGTGTGTGAGAGAGAGAGAGTGAGTGTGTGTGTGTGTGAGAGAGTGTGAGTGTGTGAGTGAGTGTGTGTGTGAGTGAGTGTGTGTGAGTGTGTGAGAGAGAGAGAGTGAGTGTGTGTTTGTATGCAGCTCATGAGAACAAGACAATTCAACATAAGGATGTGCACAGACAAACAATTCAGACTCACATTCACAACTTTGCTAAATATGATTTCTTATGGAACTAGGGGTGTAACGGCACACGTGTAACTACTGTACATGCAGAACCTAATATTAAACTCAGATACAGGACGGGTCAATATCATTTATACTGATATACCTTGCTGCAAATATACCATCGTTGTTTCTACATTACCTTTTCAGATTAAACGCAAAAAAATATTTTATTACAAATTTTATCGTTCTGTGAGATTAATTACAAAAGATCTGTGATTGCATAAAAGCATTTAAACAGCACGACAAGTAATCCAAGCTGTGTTCAGTAAACCACGGTTCAAAGAAAAAGAAGAAGTACCTTAATGTTTTTTTTTAAATTCTCTTCTGCTTTACTGAAAACATAGCAAACATATTGTCACCTGTGTGCCATCACACCCCTCACAGGGACACTGAAGCCTGAGCAAAGAAACACTGCATTACGGTAACAAACTACACTCGATTCATCATTTTAACCAGTATATCACCCACCCCTACAAGCCACGACAAACAACAGAGCATTAGAAACAAATATTACATGTCTGCATTATACGATGTATATCTCCATACTGTTAAGATCCATTGTTTTAATTACCATACTGATTCCCTTCTGGATCAACCAAGACTCAGAAGAAACTTCTAGCGAGTAGAAAACCTCCATCGAAGGCAGCGACTGAACCACGAGCTTCCTAGCACGACCCTTAACACGGATGACAAAATGTGAAGATTAAAACCAGAAAACTGTATTTTTAGTGATTGTGACATCACTGTAATATATACACGTTTACACAAATGCAATCAAAATCATTCAATCCCACAGAGACTGTAATAAATTATTGCATCTATAACAGTTTAGTGGCATACTAAAGGTGATAATGTCAATATATAACGTAATATTTTTGAATTACAGGGCTTATTTTTAATTTTTTTGTAATACACCCGTCATAATTATTTAACCCTTATTCACTGTTGCTGTTTATGAGTCACTTGTTTGTACAGTAGGGCACAAAATTGTTAAAACACAAGTAAGCCTTTAGAAACTCTATAACAAAACTTAACTTACTTGAGCGGTTACACAAACATACATTTAGCCCATGATTGTGCTTTAGCTGGTTCCAAATATGGCCAAGTCAATAGAGCGCTCACAAAAACTATAGGGAATAAACTCTTAAATTAGACAGTCTATGGCTAAACGTAAAGATTAAAGTGTCTTGCAGCAGAAAACCCACAGAAACTTCGGAGCACTTACTGGAGGATATACAGAATAAAAGATTCGGCTTTTGGGGGTCAAATACTTCTGTACATGAGTGTTTAGAGCCAATTCAATTTTTTTTTCATCAACTTTACATTCTCAGAATTACTCAAATGTGTATTAATAAACTTTCTATATAAGTTTACTGATGCCTTTGTTGAACTGTTTTCATAAAGTTTTGTTCTCGGCAGCGAAAGGTCTTGCAGGTCAAAGGGGTTGAATAATTGTGATTGCATCTGAACAATATATAGATATACAGCAGGCAGTCAAAGCCTAATAACAGCACATGAAGGGTCCGGGAAAGCCACGGCAGTAAACATGTGAAACTAACCACCATCAGAGGGAGAGTTTGCATCATTTACTTTCATTTGTAGATGGTGTCAAAAATATGAAATAAGTTACCGCTAAAATTGATCATATAACATTTATCATAAATGTCCAGCTATTTGAGTCATGCATGCTACAGTGAAATATTTCAAGTGTGCTTGCTCTTTACTGTACAGTACTTCCCCATATTTTAGATTACACATTAAACATCTGTGCATTATGCCATAAAATAAAATGTTAGAAACGGTGGAAGTTGGTCTAGTTTCCAAAAACATGGATTTACTGTACATGATTTATTTCAGTAGTGACCACATGATTTAATTTGCCACCAATACAAACACTGCATTTCAACGGATCACACACATCCTCTGCAGGACTCGAGGATAAGGACTGAGCGATGGCTCGGGTCCAGCGTGAAAGAGATCAGTGACCGCTGCTCACCAGCCTTTAGCAGCTGCACGTGTTTTTAAGCTTTGCTTATTTAAAAATTCAAGCGCTTTTAAAGCATTCAAGCAAGACGTGAAAGACAGCTCCATTCAGTATCGCGCTGAGCTCTGTGTGAACAGAATGTAATGACGTTTGTGTGGAAATACTATGAAGTGTGTAAACTGTGTTCACAGACACTGAAGACGAGCAGGTGCTGCGGTTTCTCCTGAAGCATCATTTCATTTGTGTCTTTGCTCTATAACAGTGGTTCTCAAACTTTTTACAGTGGCGTACCCCCGGGGCATTTAACATTCTTCTGCGTCCCCCCTCTTCCACTTAGACCGCAGTCACACCTTTTCTATTAAAGGACAATATTTGCACCCTTAAATTGATTTACAGGTGCATTTTTTACCATTATAGAGGCAAATATTTTCTATCCTTATTAATTGTATGTCATGTTTTATGTCATATTCTTAACATTTCATTAAGTGTATTATTAATATAATAAATAAAGCAATAAATGATGGCAAATCGAAGTGATACTTGGCTGTTTTATTTTTAAATCTACAATAGGTGGCGGCAAGTCGCTGTCTTAAGCCAGGTGTCGCGTCATTCATTCATTCATTCATTCAGTAACGAAGCAAAATGCTGTAGTTATGAATGGGTTATTAATCACGGACTCTCCAAATCGTTCAAAAACGCAGATTCATTCACTAATGAAACACCGCTGTATGATGCTTGGAGACGCACACCAGATGCGTGTCAATATTTGCTCTTCATGCTATTAAGTGAAGATCTACTTTAAAGATACATTGAACAGCAGCGTGATTTGCTAAAGCAGCATATTCAGCAGCCATCCTATCACATGCACGCTGCTTGTGTGGAAGCAGTCAGTTTTGACTGCAAAAGATTAGGTAAGCTGATTGGATTGCTTTAAGTTCGGGTATTAAATGAATGCCAAAACTCAGAATTTTGTTCGTGTACCCCCCACCGTCATCTCGCGTACCCCAGTTTGAGAACCACTGCTCTATATATTCAGTTGTGTTACTGCTTATAATTTGCTCTTATTTACTGACTGTTCACTCGTCTTTAATAATGTTTGAACTTTATATTTGTTAGTAGTTTTTGCTGTGGTATGAAATTGGAATCGAGAATTCTAAAATTAAATTGATATCTAAAATTTTGGTGTCATATAAGCTTATTTATTATAATAAAAGATACCATGGGTCAAAAACAATGATAACAGCAACTATTTTATTTTACTTTTTTGTTGCAGTGCAAGTATAAATCTGAAGCACTGGCCCGACCGGACCAGCAGAAACATCCTTAGCGTCGAGCCCTGCGTTGCTTTCTGTCCTTTTAGTTGACATCTATTCTTGTACCAGAGGCTTGAATATGACACATTCATACTCTTGATAAATATGATCAAAGGCTGGCAAAATAAGTCTGCATTGTTTATCCATTTGATATTCCATTCAAAACGTTTTTAAAACATGTAACCTTTAATTGAAGTAAAAAAAAGTGTGTGTGGGGGGTGGAATTTGAGTTGAATTACTGAAATAAATGAACTTTTCCACGACATTCTAATTTATTGAGATGCACCTGTATATATATATATATATGGCCACAATTATTGGTACCCCTAGAAATTCTTATGAGTAAAACATCTCTAAAGAATATTCCCATTCATATTTACAATTTTTAGCACAACAGGATGACTACGAACATGAAATTATCCAGCCGTGACTTCCTGTTTCATACTTTGAGTGGCCAAAGACTCTCCAAGTTGGAAAATTGCAGAAAATAGTTGAGTCTCAGGGTCAAAAAATAAATAAATACAATCAAACAGCACCTACATCACCACACATTGTTTGGAAGGGTTTCAAAAAAGAATCAAGAAAAGAAAATGAAACTCCAGCATATTCATTTTTTAGACACAACTGGAACTATATTTATATATACACACACACACACACACATATATATATATATATAGCTCATTAAATACCTTGTTTTCTTCAACTACCAAGGACATGATTTTCATGCTGTTTTCATCTTGCCTGTTTAACACAAAAGAAATGAATCCATCAATGTGTGAATTAATAATGAAAAATAAGCACCCTGTCTTTGTGTCAAAATGAGACACTTGCTGTGTAATAGTTGAGGAGTTTCCGTCTGATATCAGCAGGAAATCTTCAATGTGTTGATCCGGCCAGCAACAAAGCATGACAAATGAGTGAAAGTCCAGCAAGCTGAGCATGCCCTGGAAAGAAGAAGATGTTGTTCACATTAGTGCTCATTTACTACACCGTTTGTTTGGATAATGTGAACGCTGTTTTCTGAACTTGGGAGCACTCCCATGAACCACACCGAGTCTGCGGCTCCAGGGCTCTACAGTGCGACCATTTCAGTCTCATTTGCGACCGAAAACTACTGCGTGCGACTATGAAATAATATTTAGGAGCACCTGTGCGACTGACCTTATTTCGTCAACGAAAATGGTTTAAAAAAAAAAAGTAACAGCTGAGCAGCTGCGCATCTCCATTCAAACACAGAGGTGATTCGTTTATGAATTAACTGCGTTTTTAAACGGATCTAGTGAGTCAGTGATTCAATTACCCATTCATAAAGACAGTCACGTACTTCGTTCCTGAATTTTTGATTACTGCATTAGAAGGTGCTCCTAAATTTTTGACCGTGCTCCTAAATTTTTTAAATTAGGAGCACAAGCGCTCCTAAAAAGAAAAGTAAGCGTAGAGCCCTGGGCTCATTTCTTGCCAACTCTGGTCCAGTTGATTTCTGATGTGAGTGCAGTCATACTCAATCAAAGAAGTAAACCGCTTTCGATGATGTATGAACTGCTCAAACTGTGTATTCTCTCATTTTCCTGACAAGCGTGACTTGACACCGCAAGCAGAGGATTTATATGTAATTTCTGCTTGATTCAGCAAAAATTGACTCCTTTTGAACCTTTGCAATACATTTGTGACAGAGAGATGCATATGTCATTCTGAGCTGGAGATTTGGAAACAAAACCAAATTCTCAAAATCCAGAGTACAGCACTGAGGCGAGCAAGTAACGCATCCATCTACAACCGCTGGCAACAACAATGGAATCACACACTGGTTCTGTGAAACATACCTCAAACAAATCAAATTAAAATAATTTAATTAATGGAAAATTGTTTTCCATATCAAGTAGAGGAAGAAATTATGGAATCAGCTTGTAATTTGCATTTCTGAAACGAACACGGCACAACAACAAAAAAAGCTAGTCAGCAGTTAAAAGAGAGCTTAACGAGCTTTTGGACTTGGCTAATTGAGAGGAAACATGACCTCAACAAGGATTATAAAACTACACGGCGTTCTCTACCTGACATGGAAAACAATTTTCCATTAATTAAAAGAGTTTAATCTCATTTGTTTCAGGTGTGTTTCACTTAACCAGAGTGTTGAATTATTAAACAAATTGTTTTGTGTCATATCTGTGATTCGTTTATTTGTTATGAAGTAGAACATCATCTAAGTGTGGCGACTCCATTTGCCAGCGGTTGTATATCTCCTCCTTCTCCTGCATGTATCTCCTCCTTCTCCTGCATGTATCTCCTCCTTCTCCTGCATGTATCTCCTTTCTCCTGCATATATCTACTCCTTCTCCTGCATATATCTTCTCCTTCTCCTGCATATATCTCCTCCTTCTCCTGCATATATCTCCTCCTCCTCCTGCATATATCTTCTCCTTCTCCTCTCCTCCTTCTCCTGCATATATCTCCTTCTCCTGCATATATCTCCTCCTTCTCTTGCATATATCTCCTCCTTCTCCTGCATATATCTCCTTCTCCTGCATATATCTCCTCCTTCTCTTGCATATATCTCCTCCTTCTCCTGCATATATCTCCTTCTCCTGCATATATCTCCTCCTTCTCTTGCATATATCTCCTCCTTCTCCTGCATATATCTCCTTCTCCTGCATATATCTCCTCCTTCTCTTGCATATATCTCCTCCTTCTCCTGCATATATCTCCTTCTCCTGCATATATCTCCTCCTTCTCTTGCATATATCTCCTCCTTCTCCTGCATATATCTCCTTCTCCTGCATATATCTCCTCCTTCTCTTGCATATATCTCCTCCTTCTCCTGCATATATCTCCTTCTCCTGCATATATCTCCTCCTTCTCTTGCATATATCTCCTCCTTCTCCTGCATATATCTCCTTCTCCTGCATATATCTCCTCCTTCTCTTGCATATATCTCCTCCTTCTCCTGCATATATCTCCTTCTCCTGCATATATCTCCTCCTTCTCTTGCATATATCTCCTCCTTCTCCTGCATATATCTCCTTCTCCTGCATATATCTCCTCCTTCTCTTGCATATATCTCCTCCTTCTCCTGCATATATCTCCTTCTCCTGCATATATCTCCTCCTTCTCTTGCATATATCTCCTCCTTCTCCTGCATATATCTCCTTCTCCTGCATATATCTCCTCCTTCTCTTGCATATATCTCCTCCTTCTCCTGCATATATCTCCTTCTCCTGCATATATCTCCTCCTTCTCTTGCATATATCTCCTCCTTCTCCTGCATATATCTCCTTCTCCTGCATATATCTCCTCCTTCTCTTGCATATATCTCCTCCTTCTCCTGCATATATCTCCTTCTCCTGCATATATCTCCTCCTTCTCTTGCATATATCTCCTCCTTCTCCTGCATATATCTCCTTCTCCTGCATATATCTCCTCCTTCTCTTGCATATATCTCCTCCTTCTCCTGCATATATCTCCTTCTCCTGCATATATCTCCTCCTTCTCTTGCATATATCTCCTCCTTCTCCTGCATATATCTCCTTCTCCTGCATATATCTCCTCCTTCTCTTGCATATATCTCCTCCTTCTCCTGCATATATCTCCTTCTCCTGCATATATCTCCTCCTTCTCTTGCATATATCTCCTCCTTCTCCTGCATATATCTCCTTCTCCTGCATATATCTCCTCCTTCTCTTGCATATATCTCCTCCTTCTCCTGCATATATCTCCTTCTCCTGCATATATCTCCTCCTTCTCTTGCATATATCTCCTCCTTCTCCTGCATATATCTCCTTCTCCTGCATATATCTCCTCCTTCTCTTGCATATATCTCCTCCTTCTCCTGCATATATCTCCTTCTCCTGCATATATCTCCTCCTTCTCTTGCATATATCTCCTCCTTCTCCTGCATATATCTCCTTCTCCTGCATATATCTCCTCCTTCTCTTGCATATATCTCCTCCTTCTCCTGCATATATCTCCTTCTCCTGCATATATCTCCTCCTTCTCTTGCATATATCTCCTCCTTCTCCTGCATATATCTCCTTCTCCTGCATATATCTCCTCCTTCTCTTGCATATATCTCCTCCTTCTCCTGCATATATCTCCTTCTCCTGCATATATCTCCTCCTTCTCTTGCATATATCTCCTCCTTCTCCTGCATATATCTCCTTCTCCTGCATATATCTCCTCCTTCTCTTGCATATATCTCCTCCTTCTCCTGCATATATCTCCTTCTCCTGCATATATCTCCTCCTTCTCTTGCATATATCTCCTCCTTCTCCTGCATATATCTCCTTCTCCTGCATATATCTCCTCCTTCTCTTGCATATATCTCCTCCTTCTCCTGCATATATCTCCTTCTCCTGCATATATCTCCTCCTTCTCTTGCATATATCTCCTCCTTCTCCTGCATATATCTCCTTCTCCTGCATATATCTCCTCCTTCTCTTGCATATATCTCCTCCTTCTCCTGCATATATCTCCTTCTCCTGCATATATCTCCTCCTTCTCTTGCATATATCTCCTCCTTCTCCTGCATATATCTCCTTCTCCTGCATATATCTCCTCCTTCTCTTGCATATATCTCCTCCTTCTCCTGCATATATCTCCTTCTCCTGCATATATCTCCTCCTTCTCTTGCATATATCTCCTCCTTCTCCTGCATATATCTCCTTCTCCTGCATATATCTCCTCCTTCTCTTGCATATATCTCCTCCTTCTCCTGCATATATCTCCTTCTCCTGCATATATCTCCTCCTTCTCTTGCATATATCTCCTCCTTCTCCTGCATATATCTCCTTCTCCTGCATATATCTCCTCCTTCTCTTGCATATATCTCCTCCTTCTCCTGCATATATCTCCTTCTCCTGCATATATCTCCTCCTTCTCTTGCATATATCTCCTCCTTCTCCTGCATATATCTCCTTCTCCTGCATATATCTCCTCCTTCTCTTGCATATATCTCCTCCTTCTCCTGCATATATCTCCTTCTCCTGCATATATCTCCTCCTTCTCTTGCATATATCTCCTCCTTCTCCTGCATATATCTCCTTCTCCTGCATATATCTCCTCCTTCTCTTGCATATATCTCCTCCTTCTCCTGCATATATCTCCTTCTCCTGCATATATCTCCTCCTTCTCTTGCATATATCTCCTCCTTCTCCTGCATATATCTCCTTCTCCTGCATATATCTCCTCCTTCTCTTGCATATATCTCCTCCTTCTCCTGCATATATCTCCTTCTCCTGCATATATCTCCTCCTTCTCTTGCATATATCTCCTCCTTCTCCTGCATATATCTCCTTCTCCTGCATATATCTCCTCCTTCTCTTGCATATATCTCCTCCTTCTCCTGCATATATCTCCTTCTCCTGCATATATCTCCTCCTTCTCTTGCATATATCTCCTCCTTCTCCTGCATATATCTCCTTCTCCTGCATATATCTCCTCCTTCTCTTGCATATATCTCCTCCTTCTCCTGCATATATCTCCTTCTCCTGCATATATCTCCTCCTTCTCTTGCATATATCTCCTCCTTCTCCTGCATATATCTCCTTCTCCTGCATATATCTCCTCCTTCTCCTGCATATATCTTCTCCTTCTCCTGCATATATTTTCTCCTTATCCTGCATATATTTTCTCCTTCTCCTGCATATATTTTCTCCTTCTCCTGCATATATTTTCTCCTTCTCCTGCATATATGTTAAAAGGGGGAAGTAATGCGTAAAAAGCAGGGCAGGCACACACTGGTCAAGTGGTCAAGATTTCAGTTTTTTTTTTTTTTTTAATTGATAGATAAAATAATGAACTAAGTAACTATAATGTGTGGGTCATTATTGTTCAATTTATTTTACTGTTGTTCAGTATTTTTTGTCGTGGTATCGGTTCAGAAGAAGTACTGAGATATTTTAGTCAGGCATCGTACCGAAGCCGTAATTTTGGTATTGTGACACTACCAGCAGGGATAAGAACTTGAGTGTGGCAGCAACGATCAATTATGAAAACAACGATCTTTCACGTAGGGGGTACCTTGAGATCAGATTAGATAGGATTAATACAATATTTCTGTCTTTTATGAAAATAATAATAATAAATACAATTATAATATTCAAATTGTTTGGCTTCCTAAAAATACCAGTGTGAATGGAATGTGGACTGAGACCAGGTTTGAGTCCACTTTAATCTAGGTCTGTTCCAATTGGTAATTAAAAGGCTGTTGGACTCGTCAAAGTGTGCCAAAAAATTGCATTTAACTTTTAGAATTTTCTTCCATGTGATCATGCTCCCAATACCCCGAGAAGAGCTGAACTTAAGTCTGAGAAGTTCACATATATTATGCACACTTTTAAGGTTAGAAAAATGGTCCACCATCGTGTGCATCAAGCTCAGTTTCTCTTACCTCTTTGTTTAGAACATACATCAAATTATCCACAACTTGAATCTTCTTCACCTCTGAATAGAGAAACAGAACATTTTACACTTTACCGCTTTAACAAACACACGCCATATTTAGTAATAATAAAATGTAAACATAGCAAGAACACATTTCGTACCTGACATTAAAACAGAGTCGAGGAGTTTTGTGAGAGACAATGATTTCTGCTCGGGGCCCATGGTCCAAAGTGACAGAACATTGACACCAACAGCCTGTCATGAAGAACACTCTTTTATCCATTCACCATTTGTAAGCTGTTATAACTCTACAGAGATTGGATGAGTAGAGTTGGGCTCACTTCGCTATATACATATGAGAAGAGCTCTGATGAAATTTACTTTGAAAAAATAATTATACAGGATTTTTCATATTTTAGGTCTCTGATCAAGAAATCTGAGGAAGAGTACTTAGAAGTTCTTGTAATACTCACTGAGAGAATTTCTTTGTCACGATCCTCTCTGACAAGCGTTCTGCACATGCAGCTGACATATACCACACTTTCAGTTAACAAATAAAAGTCCTGTGCAGTGATGAAGCTTTTTTCCGTGTTGACAAATCTTTTGCGATGTACAGCCAGGATTAGCACACAACGCCCACCGCTAATGTCCGATTCACACCCTAACGACTCCTTTGACCCAATTCATTTTAATGAATAGTTAAAACAACTGATCTGTCCAACACTGAACTCACGAGACATCACCGTCTGAATCGCTTTATAACACATCATTTAATCAGAACACCTCACAAATCAGATCGTAAGTGTGTTTACACGGCAAGAGTGGCTCGTTAGATTTAGCCTTAATAATCCACAGTATTTTCTAGTGGTCGACCGATATATCGGCCGATATTTGGCATTTTTTTATATATCAGCATCGGCCGATAAGTTTTCCTGTTTGTCTGATGCGTTCGAGGCGGGACTTTTATTCTGACGGCGCTGAGCGGCCGCGTCTGAACACACAGTGCTCACATTCTCCCTCTTGTTCACCGTCGTCGTTAACAGTTCTGTCTAATACGGATAGCAGTCCGTCTAATAATCATAGAGCTGTTAAACAAAGGAATTAAAATTTATACAAAAAAGTATTATAACGATTGCCTTTATATTATTAGTAATAGAAAGACAAACATTATAATACTGTCTTGTTTGCCGTCAGCATTCAGCAAATACGCATTTATATCATTTAAACATATCTGTGAATAACTAATGAACATCTAATTTCACAAACCTTGCAGCCTTAGTGGGATCCAGCAGTGAGATCTTGTGAAGTGTGCATGTGACCTGCGTGATCGCGTGTGCTCTGCGTGACGGTCGAGAGTTTAGCTTCACTGAGACGCGCGATCGAATAACTTTAAACTCCTGATTTCAAATTAATCATTTTAAATAAAATAAGTGCCCTGTTGATTACAGTGTTTACTTCCTTTTTAATTATATTTTTATTAGATATTTGTTTATTTGTGAAAAATACTTTGTCATTTAAAGTATAAGCATGTTTATTTTACACATTTATTTTTTAATCCATTTTCAAATGATTTAAAATTTCTTAAAGTCCCCCTGTAGTGAAAATCAAGCTTTTTTTATCAACACCATTGCCGAGTATTTTCTCCTTAAAACTGTAGTTCCCCAAAGGCTGACCCAGAAATACGGTTTGAAACAGACCTCGGTTTGCTACGTCACAAACCAATAACCAATCACGTCAAGGGATCGATTCCTATCACTAGCATGCAAAATATACCAATACCAGCACAAAACCAAAAATAAATCAGAGCAAAAAACCCATGAAGCTGTGGTTTAATGTGAATTTAGAACCGCTAACTTGCATTATAACCCGTGGCAACAGTGTAAAAGTAGCCCGGAGTCAGACGCTCCTCTCCCACAGCTGCGTCTGCACTTCACACGCGTACGCTCGCGGGCGCGAATTAACAATCACAAACGGCTGTATTCCGAGTCTTCAAGGCATTTTAGGACACAACATCGTCAAGTAAGTAACGTTAACGAATGTTACAGTATTCACTGTAGTTGTCCGCTAGTAAAAGCATAGTTTTATCAGTCATTATCCGTGTATGCCATTGTTTTGCGGTTACTACAGTTCAGTGGATCAGGAGGCGCTGGCTGATGTGACTGAGTGGAGGTGGGACTAATTTGCATATTCATAGATCAGCATATAGTAAATGAGGCAAGGGTGTAGAGTTACATTCAAGCTATTTTAAGGCATGAGAAAATTATTTTCACAAGAAAAAACATTTAAATATGTCATTTTGATGATCAAAGATAACTTTTAAGGGATAAAATGTTTGACTACAGGGGGACTTTAAATATTAAATAAAATTATATTGGCTTTATATCGGCCACCCTGCTTTCCAAGATATCGGCATCGGCTGTCAAAAAATCAGTATCGGTCGACAAACTAGTATTTTCATGTTATTTATATGACAATGCGTAGAAAATTACCGATAAAATCATTTCATTTAGACTGGAGGTGAAACCAGACAAAAGCACAAGGCAAGCTGCTGATTTTATTTCATTGTATAGGGTAGAAAATTAGACTATTAGTTAAAAACATTTTTAATGCTACGCTGTAATATTAATGATTATATACCAAAATAATTATCAGGTCTAGCAAAGAAGGACCTTATCGTACAAAGCTATGAAGGCCAGTGGAAAATCCCAGCTTGTTTTGCGAAGAGGGCAAGAAAGGATGACAGTGAGAGTAATTTGGAAGAGCTTGTAAAACTGATAAATAAATAAATAAATAAAACAATGAACAATTCTTTTTTTTTCTAACTACTTTGGTAATGGTGATGTTTACATGTGAAGTAGTTGTAAGCACTTTGTTTTCTGTCCTGAACAGTGATAGTTTTTTATTTCATGAATAAACAGGATAAGCAAACATCACAAAAGGTTTTTTTGTATTTATTATAGATGTATTGCCAGTATTGGGCTGGAAGATCACGTGGGTCGAGTTATTATTACTGTGTGGATGACCGCTGAAGACCATTTCTGACCCAGAAAACCCTGCACTCGGTGTTCTTGTCCGCTGTAACACCTGACCTTCCTTTCAGAAATTAAATGTTTTCTAATAATTCCAATAAAAAAATCACGAGTTGGAGATTCAGCATCAAACTTACTCCAATCAGAAGGTGGACTGTGCTTCCCAAACAGAGCAGACTCGCCGAGATGCAGCCGTCTTCATGAATCTCTGTAGTTGAGCAGAAGTTCATAAGAATATCATCTTGGATCTGAAAGAAGCAAAATAACCAATTAGCCTCGTATCCACTGATCTATATAATTTGAAGACATTATTGCGCCTGAAATATATTACGGTTACTGTTATATATAACGTAATACTACACTTACTACTACTACAATTATTAAAACTTTATTTTTTTAAGGAATAATTAAACAATATTTCTTTCATGTTATAATGTTAATAGTAAATCCCCTTTGTTTGCCAAAAATGAAAAAGTTAGTTTAATTTTTATTTGGTTAAAAGATTAATTGAATTAATGTTTTATGTCTTCGTTTGATAACCAGAAAAAAATAAATAAAAAACACAGAATTTCTGAGGGGGGAAAAACAATATTTAATAGGCTATTGTAAAAAATTAATTTTAATAAATTAAATAGTTTTTATGCATTTAAATAATTAGACATGCATAAACAGAATTTGGTAACAATAAAACTGAAGGTGAGAAAAAAAAAAACATTTCATAGGGCCCTAAACATGTAATTGTTAAACTTTTAATAAACTGATGTTAGATTGTACAAGTTTCATGATTTTAATTAGACACATTTTAGATTGATAAAATGTAATTTAACCATAAAAAAAAAAAAAACAGTCCAGAAAAATTTAAATGGAAAAATTGGGGAAAAATAAAATGGATTTCATAGGGCCCTATTTATGGTCTATATATGAAAAATCTTAATCTAGCATGCATCATGTTGGAAATAAAGCTTCTTGTATTTAAGCCTGTATGCGGTCAATGTTTTTTTCTCTGAAAGATGTTATGATGCACATATTCTGTTTGCTGATTGACTGAGCAACATCTATAACAGACTACGGGTGTGAGATATACTGTATATGGTGTATGATAACATCGTAATGGTTGTTTAAACGATATGCGTTCTGACATTACCGAGTATATTGCTAAACCAAACAAAACCACACCCAGAGCGAGCGTGCATTCACTACGAGATGTAGGTTATAGTGCGCGAGCACATTAGAGTTCACTTGCACTGCGGGATTTACTCTAAATACATTCAGAAATCCCCAGATTTCAAGATAAGGGGACTTTTATATGTCTTTTATATTTATATCATCTGATATAGTTAATATCACACAAACATTTTTCTCTAACCTGAGAGATGTGTGTCCCTCCAATGAAAGCCCATTCCCTCAAAACTTTTACACCTAAATATAAACTGCGTGGTTTAACCCAAATCTTCAGAAGAGACACCATCACGCCAAATGATAAACCGATTTAACTTGGGCTTTTATTCACATATAAACACTGATCAAAACACAAACTCTGAGCCCATCAGATATGGTCAACAGCAGCTCAACCGTACTCGCTGTATCATGAAAGCGTGTGTGTGCTCATGCATGGACCAAAGTTAGTTTCTGTTCATCATATCCAGCTTATTGTGCATCACAGAGGCACGGATAATGAGCAACACTTCTGATTCATTAGCCGCTATCGGGAAATCACCTGAAAAACAGAGTGCAGCAAACGGCTAAATTATTTGCGTCACAAACCTGTGTTTCGACAATACATTAAAACAATACGATAAGAGATCTTGCTTGCCATATAAAGCAGCTAACGAGCCGTTTAGTACTCGCTAAAAATAACTGCAAGAGGATGAAACAAAGCCTGGCACATTCAAGCTGCTAACTGCCTGTTCTTACGTCAAAAATAAAGCGGATAAAGTGATCGTTTCTCTCCAGAACACTTGGGTTTCACTGCTACAATGCTTTTAAGAACTTATTTAAAGCATCGAAGTTTCGGGGAATGGGCTTCCCATTAAATCTTACTCCGTGTTGCGAAGATGGTTTGGAACAAGAAGTAAGAATCTTCATTTTTGGGTGAACTAGCCCTTTAATAAAAGAAATGTGCAAAAAACATTGAATTAAATGAAGCATCAACCTTATTTAAGGCCACTAGATCCATGTTTTCAATGGCTCTCTGGATTTTTCCCAAGGCAACATTGGATGTGTGGAGGAAACCATCATTAACAATGAAAAAGAGATCATACACTCCTGAAACACACACAAAAACATGATTTAATGATAATAAAAACTATGATAATACTGTCAGTGGCCATGTCTATTATGTAGCATATATTTAGAAGTTATTTTTCTGCTCCGCTTTTACAGACGCTCACCTTCAGAAGCAGGGGTCTCGTGCAGGATTAGGCTCTTGAAGGTGGTCTCCGCTCCATCAGAGGGGTTTGGTTTGAGCAAAGTCTGGTTACACAACACTTCTGTGTTACTAGAGCCAATCCAGCTATTATTACCATTCTCTTCAGGTGTGGTGAGCACTTACTTTGGTCAGCACGGTCTTTTTCAGAGGGACATAGATGATGTGCAGACTTCCATTCCTCTCTCCCACCAGAAGAAACTGCGCTTGGGGGCAAACCGTGACTGCATCCACCACAGTGTCTGAGCCAAGCGTGAGAAGACGAGTTAAAGAGATGGGTCTCCCTTAGCTGTAAACACTGCTGTGAACAGTAAATGTTAACGGTGCATAACTGAGCTTGTGTTACCAAAATACAGGTGAATGAGGACCGTCTGAAAGCCGGGATCAAACAGAACCACAGCAGTGTCCGCGGCGACGATGCAGCAGTGAGGAGTACTGGAGGCGTAGAGCTTCGGGTCGGACAGCACCTGCAGCACAACAACACCACCAATGAGAAGAGAGTAACTTTACACAACAGCAATATTACTGCCATTAAACACCGCTGTTCTCAGTGTGAATATCTGTTAAACTAATTTATTTCTGTGATGCGCAGCTGTATTTTCAGCATCATTACTCCAGTCTTCAGTGTCACATGATCTTCAGAAATCATTCTAATATGCTGATTTGCTGCTCAAGAAACATTTCTGATTATTATCAATGTTGAAAACAGTTGTGCTGCTCAATATTTTTGTGGAAACGGTGATAGATTTTATTTTTCAGGATAAACAGAAAGTTCAAAAGAACAGCATTAATTTGAAA